GGCTTTCAATAATATAGAAAATTAGCATATGCCTTTGAATGAAAAAACCTTCATTACATCCGATTACCATAAAAGAAGAAAAGATCAAATGGTAGTGGAAAATAAATTAAAGCCAAACAAAACAAATATCAAGCAACTTAGAATCTAATGTCCTTTGTTTTTATATCTCAAGCAAAGATTAGAGCGGTGAATATAAATCTTTTTTGTACATATGGGAGCCGATTGGAAATTTAAAAATGTAGGATGATCCATCCATCCATCTATCTACACTATCTTTTCTCCTTCTCGCATTTACTTCTTTATATTTTTTTTGTTTCCATTTTCATGCCAAATCTATTAATGGGTAACCTTTTATTAAAGCCAAAGAAAGTAAAAGAAATATTGTATTAGAATTTAAACATATTGATGAAGAGAAAGTAGGGGAAATATATATATACTTGGTATGTAATTCAGCTGCCAATTTCTCCAACTTTGGCTTCAAATAGATGCATTTATGGCACCAAGCAGCTATCCTATCAACAATTAAACAAAAACCATCCTTTTCACTTTGGAAAAAACCAGTCAAGGAAAGAGTTAGAAGAAGATAGAACGAACCAGTCAATGAGAACATGTTGGGAAAGCTGTTGAGCAGCAGCCAGGATCTGATCAAACTGATCACTGTCGTGGATGGGTTCCATTTCAATAGTACTCGGTTTCAACAAATCAAACCAACATGACATTCCTCCCTTAAAGAACTTTGATAAGCACAAATCCAACATCACAGTCCACGAAATTCTATATAATTGAAGCAATCATAAACTAAATAACCAAAAACCCTAAACATTGAACACATAGTCAACTAATACATGGAAAATTAACGATGACCCATGTCAGGAAAACTACTTTATAAATCGGAATCGCAGCAACAAAAGCAAGCACATAATCAAAAGCTATAATTAACCCAGATTTCATTTTCCATCAAATCAACCAAAAATCAAACACCCAATTCAAACTAACATCTGATTGAAAAGGGGGGGAAACAAATTCAGATAAAAGTAAAAGGAAAAAAATAAGAAAAAGATATAAGCTTACAGTTGGGAAACGGGTATCGAAGCAAGATCACCTTTTAAGAGTTTTAAGCAAACTCATAAAATTTTAAATTTAATGAGAAACAAAACAAAGAAGTGAACATCCAAGACAGTGATCTTAAAATTTTAAAATTTTAAGCAGAGAGATTTAAGCAGGGAGATCAGTTCGAAAAGGGGCATTCGGTTCTGGAAATGAATCAGAGAGAAAACCTAAAAAGAACCTACCATTCGTCGAAACCACCATCGTTTCTCTTGGACCGAAGCCAAAGCCTTGAGTTTTGAAGGTATTTTCTTTATAAAAAAAACCCCTTTAGATGTAAAGATTGTATATGAGCTTCTAGGTTTAGGGGTTATTTTGCGTTAAAAAGGGAGAGTTTTGGAGGTTACCTCGTCATCGGCGCCGATTTACGGTGGTCGTGGGGTTGCTTTTCTTCTACCTCATAGTAGAACAAAAAAAATGAGCTGAAGCACTCTGGTAACATGTATGTGACAAGGGAAATAAAAATAAATGGGAAGGTAGGGAATGTTGGCTCCTACTTAAATCTCCTTTTCGGAATAAAACTTTTAAATTTTGCCTGTTGCAACGTTTGTCTTTGAAAACGCTGCTAAACTATTACTCTGTTGCGGCGTTTATTAAAAACACCACTAAAGATGGAATATATTACGGTGTTTTTATAAAAACGTCGCTAAAGTAAAACTTTGTTGCGGCGTTTGTCTTTGAAAACGCCGCTAAAGTACTACTCTATTACGACGTTTATTAAAAAACGCCACTAAAGATGGAATCTATTGCGGCATTTTTATAAAAACGCCATTAAAGTAATACTGTGTTGCGGCGTTTGTTGATAAAACGCCACTATAGATGAACCCTATTACGGCATTTGTATAAAAACGCCACTAAAGTACTACTATGTTGCGACGTTTGTTAAAAAAATGCCACTATAGATGAACCCTACTACGATATTTGTATAAAAACGCCGCTAAAGTTACAATTTTGCGGCGTTTGTGATGTAAACGCCGCTATATGTTTAAAGTTAGTGGCGTTTACTCTCAAAACGCCGCTAAAAACGCCGTTGTAGAACAGTTTTGCTGTAGTGTCTATAACCAACATTAATGGCTAGTAAATAATACTTTTTATTGATTGATAGGGGATGACAGTGGAGTGGTGAACATTGCTTGAAGTCGAAGAATCAAGCCTAAGGATCTAGACTCAATAAAAAAAATGAGATGGAATATGTATTAGGGTTTATCGCAAACTAGAGTTTTAAATTGGGAATAGTTGCTAAAAAAATAAGACAATAACAAAATATTAATATGAAGATAATGAATATTAAGATAATAAGATAAACAAAGATAAAGAAGATAAATATATGATGACTTAGCCAAAATTAGGGTTTTGGCAAAATCGTTCTTGGTTTTGGATGATGGTGGTAATGTATGTTGTTTAGATGATGAAGATGACAACGACGATGGTGGCGATTGATAGATAGTTGTCCTACAAACCCTCCTAATCGCAATTGACTAGGCAAACTCGATAATTGGCTCTAACCAGCCCTCCTAATCATAATGAGAATGCAAACAAGAGTGTAAAGATCTCCCTCGCGAAGAACTTCAAGAACTTAATGATAAAGAATGCTTTGAAGGCACAAGGTAATATGCACTTGTAAAAACGAACTCTCGTTGTATTATTAATCAAAAAAATTATTTTACAATGGTGAATCTAAGTAATTATTGAATAAAATAATAATAAACTAAAAATAATGTTTTGATTTTATCCTAATTCCTAATAAAATAATAATAAACTACAAATAATATTTTAACTCTATCTTAATTCCTAATAAAATAATAAATCTAATCCTAGAAGATAATACATCATCCTATATTAAATTATATTACAAATAATCAATAAAATTATTGATAATTCGCAGTATTTACAAAATCCCGTATTAATCGCGTATAAGAATTTCTACATGTGTTGTCTTCAATAAAATGAATGTATCTTGAGTTCTTGACTTCGTATTGATTTGTTTTAAGTACCGTTGGATAATTAAGAGACAATCAGTCGTATCTCCAAAAGACATGTTGAGCAATTAACACTCGGATCCCATTCAAAAAGTCGTCGCAAGTCTGTTGTTGTTATGGTCTTCTTTTCCAAGGCTTGGTCGTATGGATCAATTGGAAGAGATGGTCCATCTTCCTTTAATGTGAGTCTTGTGGTGCATGTATCATCCTCATCTCTTCAAAAAGATTTGACCTTGAATCTAAAACATCAAAGGGATTTAATCTATAAATTTAATACATGACTAGAATAAAAGATTTTAAGTTAATGTTCAAATTAATTCATTAGACAAATTAAAAATAGAATCCTTGTCAAATTGCATTAAATGAAAATCCAAGGAAACAAATCATGCACAAGTAGTGACCAAAATGGAAGAAAACAAAACATGGTTCCAGCGCCGTGAATACGTAACTTTACAAGGACACGTGCCCTAATTAAAAAAATTTTGTTAACTGCCACGTAGACGCTTCGGCTAAGTGTTAATGACAGGTAGATATACTGAAACCATTTAAATAGTTCAGTGGTCATATTGACGCAAATATGAAAATGGTGGTCATTTCGCGACCCAACCCATAGTTATGTGGTCATTTATGTAGTTTACCCTATTAAAAGGGTAATTTATTTAATCACTAATATATTTTTGACAATTATATAAAGCACTTGAATAAGTTTTTAAGGTAATATTTTCCCCAAAAAAATATTATACTTGTCAAAAATAATAATATTTTTTAAATAACCAAATTATAAACAAAAATCCTCTACCCTTATATGTAACTCTCTTTGTGCCCCTCATCTTTTTACTCATCTCCTTTTTATTCTCATGACATCACTCATTAACTCCAAAAAAAAAAAATCTATTTTACTTCATCTTTTACAATTACTTTTATTGATGTTTTCAAAATTATTTTTAGTAAAACATCGACTGTCTTCTTTATCGTGTATGGTGGTCCTCGATCTGAGGTGATCATCGGCAACTCGTTGAGAAATTGCGTCAATCCCCGATAACTATTTTAGCCTCAAACACCAGTTTTTGTTACTTATCATTATCAAGTTCACTTTCTTGGAAGTTTTCCCAAAAATAGTTATGAATAATACCTTTATTGACCGACTTACTAACCGACTAATACAGTTCGGGTACTGTAGAGACGAGAGTGACCCTCTCAACTCAGTTTGCTCCATTCGTAAATGTCAGGATTCGAACCCCTAACTTTGCTTAAGAGACCTAATGCCTCATCCCACTAAACCAAGTGGTTGTTGATAATACTATTTTTTATTAAGCTAAGGTGATTGCAATATAGTATTTATTTTAAATACTCTTAGTCATTTGACAATAAACACATAATTACCCTGTTACGATCGTTGGTGTTTGAACCCGCGACTACTAAAAACAACAATGTTTTTTTTAACTGTTGAAATAAATTAATTCGTTAAGAAAATTATTATTTTTAAAAGTTGATGAGTGTTACCACGAAAAATTTAAAAAAATATATGTGTTAAAAGATTTATTGAAAAAACACAAAGAGAAACAAATAAGAAATAGATGATTTCTATTCAATAGTGAAATCACATTTAAAAATATTAACAAGATATTTTATTTAATAATTTCTAAGAAATTCACGTTATCAAAGAAATATGAATAATTTCTATCATATAATCCATGTCATTTTAGTCTAAATGGCATAAAAAAGGAAGTGACGTGAATTCTTTTAATACTTAAGAATCATAATTAATGCGATAAAATATTATAAAATATTTTATTTCATATTATCCAGTTCTTTTTAAGATTAAAAGGACTAAAATAAAAGACAAGAATAATAGCAGCAATTGCATCACGTGCAGTTCACTGAAGCAAATACAACAGGATACTTCAAAAGTAGGGGGGGGGGAATACACTTCGAAGGAAAACTAATAAATAAATCGCCTTTTTCTTCGTTTCTTCGGATATTCCACTGCCTTTCGATTTACATCAAAACATTTTGAACAATTTTTTATGTTCTTCCCCTTCAAAAACCCTAACCAAACTTTATTATCTGATCAAAATTCTATCTTTTGTTCCTCACTTTCAATTAAATCTTTCGATAATTCAATCAAAACTAACCATGAAAGAAACGAAATCAGTTAAATTGAACGCGCTGCAACTTCAGCTACACGAAACTGATCATTTCTATCCGTTCAAATTCGCCAAGTTATTAGATCCGGAAGCTTCTTGGGACAAAGTAAGTCTTTCGTCTTCCCCCTCCCATTAATTTTGTTGACTTTGTTTGAAAGTTGTATTATTGACTACAGGGAAATAGTAACGTTAATTGTAGTCTTTTTTTTTCTTCCAAAAAAAATGGTGCTCTTTATTGAGCTAATTCAGTTCTAGAAGTAGTTTGATTAATGGGGTTTTTAACTGTTAAATGGGGTTTAAATAGGATTATAATGAATGTAACTGAATTGGGTATTTTCCATAAAGGAAAATTGATGATGGGTTTTGGGTGATTTCCGGAGCAGGATCAATTAGGAGATGTATTGCATTGGATTCGACAAGTCGTAGCTCTTTTTTGTGGGTTATTATGGGGGGCAATCCCTGTGGTTGGAGGCATTTGGATCTTCATGTAAGTTCTCATATTCATGTTACATGTATTTGCAAATTGCAGTGTGTTTCAGATTCATATTGGATTCTTTAATCTTCTCCAAATCTGGTGACTCGCTAGCTTTTAGATGCTATATTGTGATCTGAGCTGTATGAATATGCCTTTATGCTAGTTCTAGATAGTAAGTGCTTTTGGAATTTACACTGATGTAACTGGATGGAACTGTGATTTAGACATAAGGTAATCAAGTTTGATAAAATCATAGATTGGTCGACTGTTAGTCACCGATAATTCTCTGCAACCCATTGTGCACAAAGAATGGATTTCGACATTTGCTTAGGCTAGGATTATGTCATTATGAATTTTGGCTAGTACTTGGGTAATTGTTGGGTTTCTGGAATCACATTTTATCTACAAACATAGGAGCTATTTTTCTACATGAACTTTACTAGAGTCTGTGTTTTAAAAGGCGCGAGGAGCTCCAAGGCGACTAGCCACCCGAGAGCCTCAATTTTTTAGGCTCTTTAAGGCGAGAGATTCACGTACGCGAGGCGCTTAATTTTACAAAACATTTGTAAATATTTTATAACCATACCTCAAACACAAAACAACTTAATAATTAACTTAATAAGCAAAAACACCAAGTAGCATATATCATATTGTATCTCAAAAAAGACAAATAAAAAACATTATCAATAATCAAAATGCCTAAAACTCGTCTTCATCATCATCGTCATCAACATCAATCCCAAGCACCTCCTCCTCCCCATCATCTTCGGAAAGTCCAATATCCTGTTCTATCTCTTCATCGTCTTCATCAATTAAATTTAGTCCAGTAGAGGGCCTTCTACGAGTGGAGGTTTGGGCAACACCCTTTCCTCTATCTCTTGATGAACTTGATGTAGATGTTCTTCTAGTGGAATAAGTAGCTTGAGATGCCCCGGAAGCTTTATCAACAACAGACCATGTTAAATCATCTCCATCAAAGACAAAGTCTTCCTCCTTACCATCTTCATCGTCCATATGGCCCATCAACCACTCGTTGCTTTCATCTATTTCCTTCAAAAAAATAGGATATGTGGTGTCATTTCTTTGATATCTCCGTCGCAAAGCACGATTAAACTTGACATACACCATGTCATTTAAACGACTTTGTGTCAATCTATTTCTCTTTTTTGAATGAAGTTGTTGAAAAACGCTCCAGTTCCTCTCGCAACCTGTAGCACTACAAGTTAGACTAAGAACTCGGATTGCAAATTTCTGTAACTCCGGTGCTGAGGCTCCATATGCAAACCACCAATCCGCTATTAACATATAAAATAAATCAAGATTTAATTTTGTGAGGTATGATATATATATATATATATATATATATATATAATATGCATATCTGCGTCTTTGTGTGTGTTTTTTTACCTGGAGCTCTCTATATACAAAATAATTTCATAAATTTATGAGTTAAATTGCAATCTAAAATTTTATGATTTAGTTGTGTTTTTTATTTATCTTATATGAATTGGTTTTATTTATTTAAATATAAATACAATTTTATCCATCTGCCAAGATTAAATGGATGATCTTATGAGGGTGGTTCACAGATGAGAAATCCAACGGCTGATATTAAGTCATCCACGCTGTCGACAAGACGTGGCAGCGGTTAGATCCAAATGGAGTGCACGTGTCACTCTCCAAAGCTTTCTCTCTTGTATTAAAAAATGAGAAAAAAAACTAAGAAAAGACGAGTAAGTTGCTATTTTCAGTTTCGGACAAAGAAAAAGAGAGCTCAATCGCAACAGCAAAGAAACATACAAGTTTTCTTGCATTTCTTATTTTTATTTTCTCTCAAATTTCTCATGCTGTGCAGTTAATAGTACGGCCGTTAGATCGATTCATCTGAAATGGGTTATTGTACGTGAATCGCTAAAAGCATCGCCTCGTCGCCTCTCGCCGCCACCGACGACTGAATCGCCGCCTCATGTACTCGCTGCCGCCTTGGTGGTCGGAGGCTTTCTTCTAAACACCTCGCCTAGCGCCTCAAAGCGCCTCAGGCGCGCTTTTTAAAACACAGACTAGAGTTGGACTTCATATGTTTTTATGCGTGTTCATGCCATTGGTTATTTGAATTAATTTTCTAGGCTCTTTAAGCGATTTTGAGTATACTCTCTATTGCCGGTGTTTTGGAATTGGCAAGTTAAATCCATAAGATTTCTAGTTGCATTTTTTTTAGCATGAAATGTCCAAGTCACCATCCCATTTCTTTGAAAGGAAGATTGCCTTTGGTGTTCTCTTCTTGGTGCCAATATCTTAAAACTAGGATTCATTTTTCTATTTTCCCTGGCTATCCGTGTTGAGGATTTATCGTGCCAACCTTCCCTAAGAATTCATTCAATAATCGAATAATTGCAGTATTTCTGTATTTCTCTACTCTTTCATTTCTAATAGTTGAGAAACATTTTGTTAATATTTGTTTTCTGCAGTTTTCTAGCCATATCCACCGCAATCATATATGGTTATTATGCTATGATACTAAAGATTGTCGAAGAAGATTTTGGTGGTCATGCATCTCTTCTTCAAGAAGGGTTATTTGCATCAATAACTCTCTTTTTGGTACTCAAAACAACTTTGGATGATTTCTTTCATGTTCAGAATATTTGAAAAAGAGAGTTTTTTTCATGTTTATTGCTAGGGTTGCATAGAAGTCGGATTTCAATCCGATCTGGATCGGTTTTTATCCGATCCGGTTTTTTCCCATAGAAAAAAAACCGGTTTATAAAATAACCGGTTCGGTTTCTAACCGGTTTGGAGGGCCGGATATCCTAACCGGTGTAACCGGTTTCGGTTTTAAAAAAAACCGATTTTTTTAAAAAACCGGTTATAAAAAAATCGATTTTAATATTATTAAAATTACATCGTCATCAATTGCAACAAAGTTTACGATAATTTGTTGAAAACATTTTGATATTTCGATATAACAAATTAAGTTAAATGAATTTTAAGATTTTTCAAATGATTTTCTAAGTATATTCGATATAATTATTCGAATATCAAAACATTACTCCAAATATTTCAAAAATCATTTTTAATCCTTACTTAAGTGTAAAATTAAGTTTTAATCTTAAAACAATTTCAAAATAATCTTTTAAAGTATTTCGAACCATTTCAAAGCCAAAAATTTCAGATTGCTCAGAGGGAACCGATTCCCCCCCAATGGGTACCGATTTCCCCTGAATGGTTTGGCTCCGAGATTTCCAGAATGCTCGGAGGGAACCGATTCCCCCATAGGGGGTATCGATTCCCCCCTATTCAACGGTCGAAATATTTGAATTTTACACTTAGGGAACCGATTCCCTATGAGAGGGGTACCGATTTCCACCACGCTCCAAGCATTTTTATTAAATGTTTTCACACTTAAACGGCTATATTATCTTCATTAATTATCCCTAACGTTCAGAAGTGATTCAAGGTGTATTTAAGCAATCTTAGAAGCCATTGATCAAAGACAAGAAATATCAAGCAACTAGAATCAAGAGAGAATCAAAGAGAAAGCATCAAACCTCAAGTTTGAGCATTTCAAGCCTATTTTCATTCAATATTCATTTTGCTTTCAAGAACACATATTGTGCTCAATTGTATTCATCTTTTGAGTATTCTTTTCTTTGTTCTAGAATTGTGCAAACAATCTACCTTGTGAGGATTTCCTTGTAAGTTTGCAAATTTGTATTGTTCTCTTTGGGAGAGAGTTTTCTCAAGAATTTGGGGTATAATTCTTGAGGGTTTGTAAGGTTACTCTTTGTCCTCAAAAGAAAGATAAATTAGTGAATTTGTGGAAAATCCTTAGTGTGGATAGCTAAGGTAGTGGACGTAGACTTTGATTGAGAAAGTCGAACCACTCTAAATCGCTGTGCAAATCTTTTCAATTTTTTGCAAAAGCTTCCACCGAAATTTTAATTGCCAATTCACTCCCCTCTTGGCCGATTACGTCGATCGATTAACTCAACATAATTGAAATACTTAAATACTTCCAAGTTTGATAAATTCAAATACTTAAAAACTTCTAAGTTCGATAAATTCAAATACTTAAAAACTTCAAGTTCGATAATTGAAACAAAGTTTACGATAATTGAAATAAAGTTTAAAAATAAACTACATTGCCATCTCTTCTTCATCATCTTCGCCTTCTTCGTTTGGAGGGGATATTCCAAGTTCGACTTCCTCAATGTGTAAGTTTGCTTCCAAATCAGCATCAATTGCATCTTCTAGGGTGGTGATATGTTGCTTACGAGCCGCTCCATCCAAATAATCCTTTAAACAAATGCATACTTCCACCGACTCGGGACTTAGTCTTGATCTCCGTTGTAATATAATCCTGCCACTAACAGAAAAAGCGGATTCCGAAGCTACCGTAGAAGCTTGGACGGTTAGTAAATCACGGGCCATGGCGGCTAGAATCGGAAATTGTGCTTCCTTTTCTTTCCACCAAGCCAAAATATCCAAACTTTCAAACTCTTCAAATGTCATTTTTGATAGAAAATCGCATGACATGTAATTTCCCAACTCGCTACTTGGGGTGGTAGTACGTGATCGTTTGGATTGAGAATTTACAAGAGTCTTAAAAAGATTCAAATTTATGTTACTTGGACGTCTACTAGATGATTCCGCATTCATTCTCATTTGATCGTGTATTACACTACTTGATCCGTATTTAGTTAAATAAATTGCAAACATGTCTCGAAAACATTTGTTAAAATAATTTATTTGGTTTTGGACAAAGTTGGGTTCATCATCGGTTATATTAAAAGCAAACGCAATTTGTTCAATTAGTGTTTCAACCCCGCCAACATTTAACGTTGGGTTTAAAGCGGCGGCACAAGTAAAAATGGGAGGAATCTCCTTAAAATATTTTAAAAGTTTTTCCTTCATTGTAAAGCCAATTTCTTGAAAAATTTCGGTTTCAAATTCAAAGTCATTTAGTCGGGTAGCCAACAAAAATATTTGATTAAGAACCAACGGGCTAGTAGGGTAATAAACACCGGATAAAAAAGTTGTTGCATTTTTAAAAACCCCAAGCAAATCGGTTATTTTGGCTATAGTTTCCCAACTCGAATCCGGATAAATGTTTGGGACATGACCCCTCTCGAAAAGTCGATCGTGAAATGTTTGCAATGTTTCCCTTTGCCTTAAGGCAATATGTATCATCATCCAAGTTGAGTTCCAACGAGTTGGACAATCCAAATTAGGACCCAAAGCTTTTTTATTAACGGACTTACAAAATCGTTTATAATCATTTAGTCTTTTGTTGTTGTTACAAAGAACCGATTTTATCATTGTTTTAAATTATAATCTAATCGGCTCAATAACCTCCAAACCGGCTTGCACGGATAAATTAATTATGTGTGCAACGCAACGGGTATGAAAAAACGCACCGTCTAAAATCGGTGAAAGTAATATTTTCAATCTTGGAACCGCGTTTGTATTATTCGATGCATTATCAAAGGATATAGAAAAAACTTTATTTTCTAATTTATAAAGACAAATTACCCTTTTTAAAAGTGTAAATAAATTAGCACCGGTATGCGGCTCACCGAATAATTCAAACGCAATTGTTCTTTTCATCATTTGTCAATTATCTTGATCTAACCAATGTGACGTAACGACTAAAAAAGAATTTCCGGTATTATGAGGGGAACTCCAAACGTCACATGTAAGCGACACACCATAACGGTGTTCTTGGAATCCTAAAATCATTTTTTCCCTCGCCGTATGTCACATTTTTATAGCATCTCTTATAAGGGTAGTACGACTTGAGTATAACGTGGTTGCATTAGTTGTTTAATTGTTGTCGTGAAATCTTCATCATCAAAGTGGTCGAACGGCAATGCTTTTGTAATCACGAACTTTGTAAACGCTTCTCGTAATTTTTCGTTGTCGTAAACAAAAACACCACCTTGCGGTGTAAGATTCGATTGACTAGGATCCGATCTTGAGCGAAGTGCCTTGCATGATTTTGTCAAATGGTTCTTCAACGTTGTGTTTCCTTCCGATGCAAGAAACTTTAGACAAAATTTACAGTGCGCCCTCCTCGAGCCATTTGACATCTCACATAAATCGTAGTGATCCCAAATATCTTTGTTTCGAGTGTGTTCGATCACTCTCACGACTTCAAGGTTTCCCCCGACGGAAGATTCAGCCGTGTTACTCATGATGAACAAAAAATTACAAAAATAAGATTTGAGAGATGTTTAGGTGTTGTGTAATAAGATTTGAGAAAGTTGTAATCAACCAAATACATCCCCAACCTATTTTTACATGTTTAGGGTGGTAAAATGGTAATTTTTTAAAGAAAAAAGCGGTCAAAAACGGTCACAAAACCCCCCCAACTGTTATATTAACGGCTAGTTTTTTAAACCCAGACCGGATTTTTTGTGGATAAAAACCGGTTTTTTAACCGGTTTTTTTCAAACCGGTTTTTTATCAGGTAAAAAAATCGGTCTAGGTTTTTTTCTCCAAACCGGTTAAAATAACCGGTTTAAAAAAATCCGATCCGGTTAAAAAAAACCGGTTTTTCCCAAATCCGGTTTCGGATATTTTTTTCGCAAAATCGGATATTCGGATTTTTTGTGCACCCCTCTTTATTGTTAACAAAACCCTCTTTTTTTATGTTCAGTTGGCGTGGGTTCTGGTATATAGCTTGGCCCACTTCTGATATGCTTTGTATCATCAACTGGCTACCCCGGTGTCTCTACAACACATTTCAAGGATTTGATTCTGCTAGATGAGGAACCATTCATTATTCCTAGAAAACAATCAGAAACTCACTTGAGAAATGCCAGTAGGTATTGCTTTTTACGTTTAGTTGCGCAAACATTTCGAAATTTGAAATCATGAAGATAGTTATTTTTTTGTGAGAAAAAAAATTGTTCATGCATGTTTGATTTCAGTGTTACACCATGAGTGTCCCTCAGAATGTTTTTGCTTAAAATAATCCATTTCCAGCCAACTTTCTGGTTTATATCATAACAAGGCTAAATATGTGTGGTTTTGACAACATATCATTCTTTTCTATTCGGTATGCTTCTCAAGTTCATATTGATTTAATTTTGAAGTTAGTATGAGTGTATTGATGGCGAATATCGACGAAAACAGTATGAGTGTTATACGATTGGATTGCGATAATTAAAATTGAAGAAGAGAAGAGAGAAAATTCTTGTATTATCCTTCAAAAGAGAGTGAAAATCATACATTAAAGACTCGTATGCTAAAATTATTGTGAATCAACTTTGTGTGAAGGAAATTCCTCCCTTGCAAAAAGAGAATCAATAGTGGATGCGTCAGACGGGAATCTATTTATTACTTGGAAGGCAATTATCCTAACTGTTGGACTACTACTTGATTGCGTGATTTAATACTAATTTTTATATATAGATGTTTCCTATTATAAGCTAAAAGTTTTTGCTTTTATTTTAATTTTAATTTTTTTTCAGATAATCATAAGCTAAAAGTTAAGATTAACATTCTCACTTCAGTTTTCCTTTCATAAATAAGATAAATGATAATGCAGCCGTTAATGAATAAACGAAAAGGGCAAATATTGAGACAACAAATTAGTAGTTGATTAGGAAAGCAAAATTAATGTTAAGAAAGACTCCTTTGCATTTGCCAACTTATTCAACATTATTAGTATTACCATCAAACGTGTAAACTTCAACCTATTTTTTACATTCTCGGTTGGAGCACAAAAATGGAAGACTCCATCACTTTCCCCTCATGCATGTCAAATGCTTTCAAACTTCATCTTCCCCAAGTTCATGTTCAATATGCAAAAGAATCCTATCCAAACCCAAGCTGATGATTTCCTCAGAGAAGCTTATTAGTGAAGGATTCAGCTTGAAATATATGGTATTCAGGAAATCTACCACCAGACTGTCGGATATTTGAAGGCTAAGGGGATGCTCAACTCAAGCTTTGTGTTTTGGTTGCTCATCATATACGTTGTATTCTGTGATAATATTGGTATGTTACACGTATTCTGTCGTCAAGTCTGTAACACCCCATACATGGTTGGAACAATCCGACCTAGATATCCGATCTCATATTAACAGCAATTTACAAATTTCCAGCTAAATAAAGCTTCGAAAACTGCTTTAATTGCATTATTATTAAGTCTAAGGGTCAATTTATAATATTCTATTAAAATTACCTTATCTAACTAAAAGAAATTTATTAATGGAATTAAGTCTATTATAGTATAGTATAAAATCTCAACTTAACTCGAGTTGAAAATCATTTTCAATTTCATTTGTAAATTTATGGACTAATTTATAAAATATCACTTATTTGAGTACCATAAACATAAACCCATATTTAAAGATTTTAGAAACCAGTTTCAAACATTCTTTTCTGGAAAACAAAACTCGAGGAATTGATCTTTTTTATGAAAAGGATCAATCCTTGGATTGATCCTTTTCATTCTAACGGTCAACAGATTGATATATATAAATCAAGCGACTTCGATGATAAATGAGTTGCTGTTTTTTGAGGTCTTAAGTTTGAGCACTAGGAATACGATAGGTATGAGAATTAATGTCAAATTGTTGAGAATTAATTTTGAATAAATATTACCTTATACTTCCCTCAAATTAATATAAAAAATAATAGTTAAGGGATCAATTTTTTTTCATTTCAATAACTGAAAGATCGATTTTTTTTGGAGAATTAAAATTCAATTTGAACATACACAATTGAGCTAGAAATTCAATCTCTAATTTTTTTTAAAGTGTTGTTTAAAAGTGTATTTTAAAATTTAATTATTTGAAATTGCTACTAAAAAGTGAGTTTGAAAAGATAAAATGGTTACCGTAGACATTATGTTGTAAATTTAAATTATAGAATTTATATTACACTTATTAACAATATTATAATATATCAAATTAAACTATAATAAAAATATAAAAAAATGTTTTAAGATAACTCATTAATAATATTTTTATAAATAAAAACTTTTATTAAGAAATAAATATAGTATCAATACTTTTTAACACGAGTATATAAAATTATTACAGGATAATATTTTAAATACTTGTTTTGACAAAAAAATATTTCAAAAAATATATTAGTGCTTGCAAATTAAAGTGAATTTATTAAACCATAAGTTATGATATCTCTCATTAATTCCATTTCATAACGAGACAGACTGTTTAATTATTTTAATTCAACCACAATCACTCATTTAAAATTTAAAATAACATTATTTAAATGATATATTTATCTTTTTAACCATTCAAAAATAAAATATATATATATATATATATATATTACAAATAAATTCAAAAAAAATGTATTATTATATATGAAATATATCAATCTAAACTATAATAAAAATATAAAAAATACAAATAAAAAATATAATTATAATAAAAATATAATAACTCACTATTAATATTTATTGGACTAAAGGGTTTCTAAAATCTAAGGGCTCATTTTTTTTCTGATTTTCGGATAATTCGAAATTGAAATTTATCCAATCTGATTATCTAATTTTTTTGAAAATTCAATCTGAATTATCCGAAAATAAAAATAAATTAGATTAGATAATATAACTTTTGAATCGGATAACCAGAATAATGGATCAGATATTTTTACAAGCCCCAAAGTTTACCCTTAAAACAATTGTTCATTTGCTTGATTTCCCTCTCTTTTTCCCCTACTTGACGACTCCATTTCGAGCCCTAAAGCTTGACTTGACAAAAGTCTATGGCGTCCTCTATTATTTTGACTGGTGTTTTCAACAAGTTGATCTTTATGGGAACAATCCACTGTCTCAAACCCATCATGAAGGAGACTGAATATTCCAAGGATGGATGGTCCATTCCATAACGTGTAAGCTTTGATGTAACCCATCTTCAACTTCAACTACGTCTATCACATTCATTTTCAAACCTTAAGGGACGTTTGGTTTAAGGTATCTTACATTATCGAATGATAGAATGTCATTTTTTTATTTGGTTGACAAATATTCTAAACTTTCGATAATAAATTATTTTTAATAGTGGCAAAAATTTCTTTAATTTTGTCCTTATATTTATATTTTTTTACAAAATTGATCTATGAATATTTATTTATTTTTGTAATTTACCCGAAATAATATACATTTAAAACTTGCAATTCAACAATCACGAAAGATGACAAAATAATTAATCCAAAAATAAAAACAATCGAACCTGAACTCAATCCGTATCTGGTAAATATCCGACCTGAATTTTATATGTCAATGATGTGATTCGATCTGAACGAGATCCGACTGAAGTCCACCTTAACCTAAATTAACCTGGTCTTTATCTGCTTCGGGCCTAAACTATTTTGACCTAAATTGACATCGATCCGAACTAAAAATAACCTGATCTAAATCCGATCAATATCTGATGTCAAATCAACTTGAAAATGATCCTAACTGATTTGACATATATCCGACCTGATCCGAGTTAAATCATTAAATTGACTTAACTTGACATATACCTGATTTTACCCGACCTATTAAGATCCGACTAAAACATGTCTATCTGATTACATGATTTTACAGCCTTAGTTGGAACGATCCGACCTAGATATCTGATCTCATATCAACATCAATTTACAAATTTCCAGCTAAATAAAGCTTCGAAAACTGCTTTAATTGCGTTATTATTAAGTCTAAGGGTCAATTTATCAATTTATAATATTCTATTAAAATTACCTTATCTAACTAAAAGAACTTTATTAATGGAATTAAGTCTATTATGGTATAATATAAAATCTCAACTTAACTAGAGTTGAAAATCATTTTCAATTTTATTTGTAAATTTAGGTACTAATTTATAAAATATCACTTATTTGAGTTCTATTAACATAAACCCATATTTTAATATTTTAGAAACCAGTTTCAAACATTTTTTTCTGGAAAACAAAACTCGAGGAATTGATCTTTTTTATGAACGAATCAATCCTTGGATTGATCCTTTTCATTCTAATGGTCAACAGATTGATATATATAAATCAAGCGACTTCGATGATAAGTTATTCTTTGAAGTCTCAAGTTTGAGCATTAAGAATACCAAAAGTATGAGCATTAATGTCAAATTGTTGAGAATTAATTTTGAACAAATATTACATTGTACTTATCTCTAATTAATATAAAAAATAATAGTTAAAGGATCAATTATTTTTCATTTCAATAACTGAAAGATCGATTTTTTTTGGAGAATTAAAATTCAATTTGAACATACACAATTGAGCTAGAAATTCAATCTCTAATTGTTTTTATGGTTAGAGTTAGTTTGCCAAGGCTTTTGAAAGCTGGTCTATAAAAATACTTTGGAATTTTTTTAAAGTGTTGTTTAAAAGTGTATTTTAAAATTTAACTATTTGAAATTGTTATTAAAAAGTGAGTTTAAAAAGATAAAATGGTTACTGTAGACATTATGTTGTAAATTTAAAATATAGAATTTATATTACACTTATTAACAATATTATAATATATCAAATATATCAAATTAAACTATAATAAAAATATAAAAAAATGTTTTAAGATAACTCATTAACAATATTTTTATAAATAAAATATTTTATTAAGAAATAAATATATTATCAATACTTTTTAACGCGAGTATATAAAATTATTACAAGATAATATTTTAAATACTTGTTTTGACAAAAAAAATATTACAAAAAATATATTAGTGCTTGCAAATTAAAGTGAATTTATTAAACCATAAGTTATGATATCTCTCATTAATTCCATTTCATAACGAGACGGAATGTTTAATTATTTTAATTCAACCACAATCACTCATTTAAAATTTAAAATAACATTATTTAAATGATATATTTATCTTTTTAACCATTCAAAAATAATATATATATATATATATATATATACAAATAAATTCAAAAAAAAGTATTATTATATATGAAATATATCAATCTAAACTATAATAAAAATATAAAAAATAAAAATAAAAAATATAATTATAATAAAAATATAATAACTCACTATTAATATTTATTGGACTAAAGGGTATCTAAAATCTAAGGGCTCATTTTTTTTTTCTGATTTTCGGATAATTCGAAATTGAAATTTATCCAATCTGATTATCTGATTTTTTTGGATATTCGATCTGAATTATCCGAAAATAAAAATAGATTAAATTAGATAATATAACTTTCGAATCAGGTAACCAGAATAATAGATCAGATATTTTTACACGCCCCAAAGTTTACCCTTAAAACAATTGTTCATTTGCTTGATTTCCCTCTCTTTTTCCCCTACTTGACGACTCCATTTCGAGCCCTAAAGCTTGACTTGACAAAGTCTATGGCGTCCTCTATTATTTTGACTGGTGTTTTCAACAAGTTGATCTTTATGGGAACAATCCACTGTCTCAAACCCATCATGAAGGAGACTGAATATTCCAAGGATGGATGGTCCATTCCATAACGTGTAAGCTTTGATGTAACCCATCTTCAACTTCAACTATGTCTATCACATTCATTTTCAAATATTAAAGAGTTATTTGGTTCAGAGTATCTCACATTAGGGAATAGAATGTCATTTTCTCATTTGGTTGGTAAATATTTCTAATCCCTGATAATAAATTATTTCTAACAGTGATATTTTGAGGTATATTATCGAGAATATAATTACACCATTCCCTTAGGTATTGTTACATTCTCAATATTTTGGATTAATATACTCTTAAATTATTTTCCCAAAAATATCATTCTTCTGTCTTTGAATAAAAAAATTCTATAAAGGTTAAATTACAAATTTATCTTTAAACTATTTTAGATTTACAAAAAAATATATAATTAGAATTTTATATGAAATTAAGAAGTTAAAATAAAATTTTACCATTTCATTAAACCTATTTATCTTTTTAATTTTGTAATATATATATATATATATATATATATTTATGAATTTAAATTTTTTAAAGAAAATATATAAATTAATTATAATAATATTATAATAAAATTCAACTTGTTAAAAGTATATATATAATAATAAAGACAATTTGATAAATTATACATTCTAATAATCTTTTACTCCTTTAATCAAACATTGTAATCTTACATTCTCACTAAACTAATTAAACACAAAATACAACATTTCCACGATAATCATTTTTCCATCAATAATCTTATATTCCATTAATTAAACATATCCTAAACAACATTATCAAAACCTCATAACTCCACTCTCAGTCTCAAAAGGGGAAAAGAAATAAAAAAAAATGAAATGATAATAATATGATTATAATTTCAACAAAACCTGACTGGTTAGAAAAGCAATTACACCGTTTCCCAAGCTGGATCTGAAAAAGTAAAACATAATTACATAGACATTCCCCTTGTAGACAACATTCATTGAGTACTGTACAGTCACTAGGCACGTATAGAGAGATGTAACGCTTCCCAGCCTCGATTCCGGCATCAGGCATGAAGCGGCGAAGCAGACGGGCGAGGGTATGCAGTTGTACTCCTTCCCCCATTGGCATCATCCGTGCTTTGCCTACGTCTCCAATGTATGATGTTAGTATTGTTCTGATTACTGCCGGAATCATTAGAATCCAGGAGCTGCTGCAATGTTGTTACAACCTCGCTCATGCTCGGTCTGAACCTGGAATCGATCGAAAGGCATCGCAAAGCAAGTGTAGCAGCCTTAAAGGCTCCTTCCATTGAATACTGGCCTTCGAGGCGATTATCTAGTACTCGGAATACTTTGCGTTTGTTGGCGAGGTAAGGTTTGGCCCATTCCACCAGTTTTTGTTCTCCAGACGGTCGATTCTTGTCGATTGCACTTCGACCGGATAACATCTCCAGCAGCACAACTCCGAAACTATAGACATCACTCCTAGCAGACAGGTGACCTACAGTTGGAGAAAAAAGGGAAAGATTCAGTGATTACAAGAGCGGAACATACATATACTTGGACCACTCGGTTGAACTTTGTTAAGTACCTGTGGCAAGATATTCTGGAGCAGCATATCCATAGGTGCCCATGACCCTTGTAGAAACATGGCTCTTATCTCCTGTTGGCCCATCTTTGGCCAATCCGAAATCTGAAAGCTTCGCATTGTAGTTCTGCAACAACATCGGAATGAAATGGTTCATAGAGAATATGATGAACAAAACCATATAATGTTGGATTAACAAATCACATACCGAATCGAGCAAGATGTTCGAAGTCTTGAAGTCTCGATATATTACTTTTGTTTCGGCGCCGTGAAGGAAGGCTAGCCCTTTTGCAGCACCGAGAGCAACCTTCAAGCGGAGACTCCATGAAAGAGGCTGGAAATAAGATCCTCCTGGTACAACATATTTCGAGTGTTACAATCTAACAAAATAGCACTTAAAGCAGAGTTTAGTTTGATGACACAAAGAGATGGACCGAAAGAACTTACTCCTGAATAGATGATTCTCCAAGCTGCCTCGAGGCATGAATTCGTACACCAAAAGTCGGTGTTCGTCCTCCAAGCAATATCCAATCAATTTCACAAGATGAGCATGATAAAACTGTCCCAGATAATTCACTTCAGCCTATAATAAGATTGAGATAGAATACGAGTGAATCTATGCGCCGGGATCTTGAATAGATAATCTAATGGCTATCAATACAACTATATTTTAAACTTTATGCTCCACATATAAGAAGATGGATGAGGCTGAGCTTGGAACTCAGTACCAGCCACTCTCTGTGACCTTGGAATCCATCCTGGTTGAGCCTTTTGACTGCAATAACAATGCCGGTTCCAGGCTTGGTTGCGGCCAACGAATTTTCATCAATCCAACCCTTGAACACCGAGCCGAAACCGCCTTCTCCGAGCAAGCAATCGGGGCGAAAATCCCTCGTGGCCATCTTGAGATCAGCAAAACTGAAACTTCTCAAATTGGGGGACTGAAGAATCTCACCCTCACTCCTTGGTGTCAAAGGTGTAGAAAATGATGAACCTTTGCTGTCGCTGCTTTCACTTCTCATATCTTTCCTCTCACCACTATCATACTTTGTACTCAACCCTGTTTCAAACATGTGTGGAACTCATGCATTAGTTAATTGAGATCTGTTGATTGAGCAAAACAAGGCCATCTTGTGCTTAATTAAGCAAACGAGTCCATGGAAATTAGCAGATTTGTTACTATGATGCTCAATAAAGAGAAAACAAAATTGGTTGCTTTAGGAAATTGAACTACCTGTGTTATTGGGGCTCTCAGCTTTAACTCTGGCATTAAAGCAAATCCCCATTGAATCAAATACATGAAAACAAGCCACCATCTTCAACACTTCTTCTGCAGTTAGTAAAATCACATACATAAATGACACTTTGATCCAGAATTAAAACAAAGAAAAGGAGACCTATGCTTTATAAACAAAGCTTCCCGAAACCATCACTTTTTATCACAGAATCTTCTTTTCTTATCGAAAAGTTAAAGCAAAAAAGGAAACACTTGAAAGAAAATAGATAAGAAGATGAGAAATACTACAAAAAAATACCTAATAAACTAAACCACCCAAAAACAAATCTTTTTTCTCTACAGACCAAGCAGAAAGCAAGGACCTATGAGAGAGAGAGAGTTTACCGTATTATAGCGAAAAGCTTGAATTTTTCTTGTGTAGTACTTGGTAGAAGGCGGCAACTAGTACGCTGATAGTGATAATGGATACAAACTAAAGAGAGAAAAATCTTTGAAAGAGGAGATGAATTGTATTAATGGCGGGCAGGTCCGGCCTTTTAAGCGTAGCGTGTTATGCATTTATGCTTCTTGCTAAGTAGTTATATACAGACAGAGATGGTTTGCCCCTTGCTTGCACAGCATTGGCATCTTTTGTGAGCCGTTGGATTCACTATTACAGAATGATGGTGGCTTAGCGTCACAGCTGGCTCCTTTGTAAACTATTAAAAGCAGAAACTTTTTTTATATCATAATTAAAAATGGGTTTTTTAATGTATAATTGTGGTTGGGGGAGAATCGAAGGACAATTGGCAAGCAGCAAGGGCCATATAATTCGCTTTTTGACCTAAAAATCACGCTATGAACCTAATATATCATAAATAATACCTTTGATCAATATTTTTCTAATTAATAATTTTTTGTCTGAGGTGACATAAAGGCATGCATTCGGTAATGTGTTTTATCGGGTTTCTGTTAGACAGGGATGCCACACGGGTAAAATGTGTTTCAGGGGTGCGTTTTCATGGGATTCGGTAACACGTGGGTAAGGCGCATTTTTTAGGGCGCGTTTTTGAGGACGCGCATTTTATTAAAATACATTTAATTCCCACCCGTTTTTCCACCTAATATTTTCCTCCTCCCTATATAAACTCCTTCAACCCCCTCATTCTTCACACCAAAATATCTATTCTATTCTAATATAACTCAAATTCTTCCTTTATTTGAGTTTAAAATTTCTTATTTGTGGTAAGAAATTTATTTTTAAATTAATATTTTTTTAAAATAGTTTTTATATTTTTTTATAAATAATTTTTTTAAAATATTTTATTTTTTGTTAAAATAAGATTTATATAATTATTATTTATTTAAATTTATTAATTAATTATTATTTGTGCTAATTATATTTGTTTGTCTACAGTTATAATGGAAAGTGAAATGTTGCTGCGATTAGATGCAAATCATATCTCCGGACATTTTAGTGATATGATAATATTTTTTTTAAAATTTATGTTAATGTTTATTATTATTTTTAATTTAAATTTATCATAAATTTATATTAATTTTAAATTTTTGGAATGCTTATTAATTAGGAAAATGATCGTATTTTGGAGACATTTATAAAAAAACACGAAGATACCAACACCAACACGTATTTTGCCGTATCTGTCTTCCGTCGGGTTCGGGTATATTGCGAATTGGCGGCTGCAAACTCGAATACATCCTAATTTCCACATTAGTTGAGAGGTGGAGATTGGAGACACACATATTTCATCTTCCATGTGGAGAGTGTACAATTACATTGGAGGATGTCTCAATACATTTGAGGCTTCCCGTTGACGGAAATATTATGTGTGGTGTGGCCGATGGTGATTGGAATTCAATATGCATGGAGTATCTTGGAGCTGCTCCGCCAGAGTACAATGAATGTAGAATATCTTTATCATGGCTAAAAGCCAATTTTGAAGTTTTGAATGAAAATGCTTATGAGGATAAAGCAAAGGCATGTGCCCAGCCTTATATATTACAAATCATTAGAGAAATATTGATGCCCGAAAAATCTCACAACCAGGTGCATTGTATGTGGTTGCGTCATCTTATTGATTTTGATGAAGCATGAAGATATAGTTGGGGCGCTGCAGTTTTGGCATTTCTCTTTAGAGAAATGTGTCGTGCAACGAATTATAAAAAAAAAAACTGCTATTGGTGGATGTTTCCTGCTTCTCCAATCATGGGTGTGGTTTCACATGCATTTCTTATGCCCGATCGTTAATGAGCCATACATATTTCCCTTATTATTGAGGTAATTTCTGAACTAAATTTTGATTTAAATATTTTTAATTAAATATGGTAATATTTAGTTTATATTATATTTCATAGGTGGATGATGAAAAGAAAGAATCATAGAGATATCCCTACTGAACTAGAGGAAATCCATTTAATTATTGATAAAAAAACTGGTCTGAGGTATGTTTTTAAATCTTTTTAAATATGAATAATTTAATTTAAAATGCTTGATATAATTAAAATATTATATTTATTAGAATTATATATTTATGTTTCAGTTTCAGTTTCAGTGGATACCTTATGCGAGCGATGAAGTAAAGACTTGCATCCCACCCCACCTAAGTGGGTCATTAGATGTTTGGATGTCAGTTGTACTTCTTATATGTTATGCTATTGTTGAGTGGCATCCGGTTGATCGTGTGTTTCGTTAGTTTTGTTGTACGCAATATATTCCTGGAGTACCTATGAATTTAGACAACATGCATAATATAGACAGACGAGGAAAGAAAGAGGTCAACTGGGTGGTGATACACAGAGATTGGATTACGATTTGGGAGAACCGGTATGAACATTTGTCCCCTCGACAATTTTACGCTGAAACTGGTCATATGGTTACGGATAACTATATGGAGTGGTTTAATGAAAACGGAAAGTCGTTTCTACTTTCGGCGGAAGCACGAGGGGTTAGCATTCATAGGCGTCGAGATAGACGTCCACCATCACAATATCATCGTCCCCCGACTCATAGACGTAGAGAATGAGCTACCGGTTCAACATATGTCGCACCACCAGAACCATCACAACATCCATATCCACTAATGATGATGCAACAAGGGTACATGCCCAGCCCACCAGTTCAAATGTCATCTCCGCAATGTTATATGCCAAGCCCACCAGTTCATATGTCATCTCCTCAAGGTTACATTCCTAGCCCACAGGGGTACATACCCAGCCCACAAGGTTACATGCCCAGCTCGCAGGGTTTTATGACACCCTATGGAGGTACATATACGACTATGTTTAATGATCCAGCATATGGTTTATATGCATCTTATTTGGTTGGTGGTGCTTCTCCACAAACACCTCAAACTTTATATGTATCATAGACATCAATGCCAATATTTTCACAGTTTTCTCAATTCTCTATGAGCGGTGAGATTGTTAGTAACACTCCTACAGGGTCGTTATTTTATACAGGACCTTCATCATCATCTATGCCAAATGAACAAAATGTCGATGATGATGATGATAGTGAAGATGAGGAGAATGAAGAGCAAGTTATACGAAGAAATCCTTAGCGAAATAGAGAACCACCGCCATGTGGAACTCATTCGAGAAGACGACATCGTTGATCCAGTTGTATTTAAATGTTATTTAAATAGTTGTATTTCAAAAATTTATTAATTTTACAATGTTATTTAAATGTTTAATGGTTGTTACAATAATATTTTTAAAATTTAAATTCAAATTCAACATTAAATGTTTATTAAATGTTTGTAAAATGCAAATCCAAATCCAAATTAATATTCCAATTAAAATTTAAAATTGTATTTGAAATTCAAAGTTATATTCCAATTATACTTCACCAAGAATGTGACATTACAATTGAAACTTAAATTACATTGTCTTGTAAAAATTATTTAAAACAATATTTCCACAATAATTAATGAGCATCATTATAAAACATATACATTACAAACCACGTGTTATAATCCCATTAACATAGGCTCACAATGGAAAATAATTCGTAAAAACATTTCGATGCTCATTCGATACAACTTCAATGTCACAACATAAATGTTGACTTTATCACTTCAACCTTACAATTCTAACTCCTTTTTATCCAATTTATCCAAACTTCACATAACACTTTAATTTAAGTTAGGAACTTAAATTTATCCATATAGCATGATTTTAACCTTAACTTGCTCAACTTCCAAAAATAACCCAATTTCACATTCTAACATCAAATTCAACAATCTAACATAAATTTCAAGAATAATAGGGCAATTATAACCTATTCTCTGACAAAAAAAGGGAAGACGTGCCCCCTGAAACGTACTTTCACCACTTTGTTGTGTCCTCTCAAACATGATAGATACTGACATGAATAGTGCCCCGCCAGGAGACATTACACATAATAAAACAATTATAACCTATTCTCTGATAAAAAAGGAAGGCACGCCCCCTGAAACGCATTTTCACTACTTTACTACGTCCCCTCAAACATTATAGGTACTGACATGAATAGTGCCCCACCGTGGGACATCACACATAATAGGGTAATTATAACATATTCTCTGACACAAAAAAAAAGAAGGCGCACCCCCTGAAACGCGCTTTCATCACTTTGCTGCGTCCACACAAACATGATATGTACTGACATAAATAGTGCCCCGCCGGGGAACATCACACATAATAGGGTAATTATAACCTATTCTCTAACAAAAAAAGGGAAGGCGCGCGCCCTGAAACGCGCTTTCACCAATTTGTTGTATCCCCTCAAACATGATAGGTACTGATATGAATAGTACCCTGCCGGGGGACATCGCACATAATAGGGCAATTATAACCTATTCTCTGACAAAAAAAAGGAAGACGCGCCCCTTGAAACGCGTTTTCATATGAATAGTACCCTGGTTATAGACATTATTATATGCAGCATATTATAAACTTTCAAAACACACATCAGCTCCCAAGCTTTCAAAATCTCATACTCTAAATTTCTCAAAACTCTCAAACATATATTATCTGAAAATGAGTCGTATTTCTACTGTTATTTTCTATGATAGAGAAATTCAAGAATATGCAGAGAGGGTTATTTTTGAATCAGATCATTATATACCCATAACCTTGAAGATAAACATCAATCTTGAGGAGTTAATCACAAAAATTTTGTAAAGATTCATGTAGCAGGCCTAAGAAGACTATCTTCACTTTAGTATAGATTTCCTACTGAACTTTTTCCACTCACGTATACATAATTTCAGCTTTCCAACGATGATGATGTTACTATGATGGTTTATTCTCATATGGGAAGTTCACAATCTCTTATTGAAATGTATGTCACTTTTA